GGGGGCGCCCCGGGGGCGCAGCCGGAGGGGCCGCGCTACAGCTGCCACGAGTGCGCGGGAACCTTCACGTCGCACGCGGCCTTCGGGGCGCACCTGCAGACGCACGCCAGCGTGGTCATCCTGGAGCCCGAGGACGCGCTGGGCCAGTGCTCGGGCTACATCCGGCGCGCGCGCGGCGGCGCCCAGCAGCCCCGGGTGAAGTACTTCAGGTGCAAGGTCTGCGGCCAGCTGCTGCGGAACTTCCTGGCGCTCGCCAAGCACCAGCTCGCTCACAGCGACTGAGCGGGAGGCGGGACCGCCTTCGCCCGCAGCCCGACCCCGGGGAGGCCGCGGAGGAGTTCAGCCGAGCTGTCAGAACACGCGCGGGAGGCCGACGCCGCCGGACGGCCCAGCCCGCGTGGAGACCCCTTCAGTCCCCGCTCCCCGCACCGTGCGCCGGTGTGACTGCGGGGGAGCAGTAGCACGGACGTTGCCTTCCTCTGTGTAAGCAGATCGAGGGACCCTGTGAATATTCCAGTCCGGGAGACCGCCCAGGCCGCTGGACGTGACGCTGCGGTGCAGACGTTTGTGACGAGCAGGTCACAGCCGGGCGGTGGTCACGCAGACTTGGATGCATGATACACAGTTCATTTACTCTGCAGAGATACCTTACCTGGTACTCCTATTTTTTTTTTTCTTTTTTGGAGGAGGAAAGAGCAACAAATTCATAGATACTTCTCTTAGATCCTGAGAAAGGGTTATTGTGCATTATTTGAACCCTGTCGATATCTTTTTTTACCCATGTGTTATTAGTTACCCTCAAGATGTAGATACGAAGATGTACGTATGAAAGATAAGATGTCTTTTACTCTTTGCTGTTTGAAAAGACAAGTAATTTTAGCTTCCTCCTACAGCCGTCTTGTCTGTACCAATGCCTTGGGACCTAACGTCTTTGTGTAAGCCTTTATAATCTGTGGACTGGCTTTTCTGACCCAAATCAACCCGTTGCCACATTGTCTGTACCTTATGGTGGTTCTCAAGCAAAAATATTACAACGTGGGGTATTTTTAAAGTTTTTTTTAAGTAACTGAGTGTGTGTTCAATAGTGAATTTGTACAACCTGAAGCTTTTCCCTGTAAGTTTTATGCCTTTGCCTTTAAAGATGGGTGCAGCCATCACTAGGCCAGAGTTCTGCCTGGGGGAGGCTGAGCACCGGGAGAGACTGTCTTGCTGTAAATAAGGAAGCCAGCTGGTGACCTGTCATCACTTCCGCCTGTGTTTCCTGCCTTAAGAGACCAGCAGCACCGAGGCGGCGTTGCCTGTGTGTGCTGCCTCCAGTCACTTTGCTCCCTGGGTGGCCAGGAGCTGGTGTCCTTAAATCTTTCCATTGCTAACCTTAATTTACCTGTTCTTTACCTGTCCGGCTTTAACCTCATGTCTATCTTATATTTTTTAAAAAATTGAAAAACAAAAAACGCTTTCTTTACAATCAGCCCAAGCTTGACGTGGACTCAGGTTCCCCAGCAGCCTTAATTTGCTGTGCTCCCCTTTGTCCCCCCTTTGCAGCAGCCCGGTCATCTGTGAGGTGTCCATTCGTGCTGTGCCGGTCTGATCTCCTCCTCACAGCTGACCTCGCAGCTTGCGGTGTCTGGTGTGTGTCCTGTTCTGTGGACCACCGGTGCCCCTTTGCTTCCCCTTCCTTGTGTAACCGCTACTCAGTACTAAGAAGTTTTTCGCCTTGAGTTGGCTGGGGAAAAAAAAAAATTAAAAATTAAAAATTTAAAAAAAAACTTGAAGCAGATCAAGTGAGCAAAAGATAAGGGCAGATGATTCAAGCAAACAGAACATCTGCCACGGGAAATGTGTGCGAATCTTCCTCTCTAGAGCTGCAGGACTGGCGCTCGTGAAGAGTGTGCTGAAGCTGCAGGGTGCCAGAGTCCAGGAAGAGCAGGAAACAGAGAGGAAGGTGCAGGAATGAATATGCCGAAGCGGCGATTCCAAATCCATCGCCAGGCTAGGAGGGGAAGGAGACGGAAACACCGGAAGTGGGTACCGGATGTAAGCCCAGGGCGGAGAGGATGGGTGGAGTAGGGTGTCCTGGGCGGTGGGAAGAAGGCATCTTTTTGATGGCATGGTGTTGATGAAGCGCAGCTGCGTACCTGACCCAAGGTTGGAGTGGGCGTTCGGGGAACGGAGAGCAGTGAGGTCTTACATCAGAAGGGAGCTTGAAGTGGAGTCCATGCTGATGCGGTCAAGGCGGACTATCTGGGGAGACTATTACTGCTGCAGTGTTAACCGCTAGGCCCTTTTCAGAAAGCAGCTTGCCAAGAGGACAGGGTATCTTTCCAACCGAGTGGAAAGAATTTAAATGCCAAACAATAGAGGAATGATGAGATAAAGTATCTTGGACTCGTATGCAGCTGTTTAAAAATGATAATCATGAAGAATTACAGAGCAGTGTGGAAATATATTTGCAGAATATTAGGTGGAGAAAGCAGGACAAAATTATATTTATACTACAACTATAACTTTTAAAATGTATGCTTATAGTCGAAAGCTGTTGTGTTATTGTTGTGGGCTTATAGTTCAGCATTATTTTCTTAAATTTCTTGAATATTCATGATAGCATTGTTAGAAGTTAATGATCACATTTCCACTGTGAGCGTAATTTAAACTCATTATCAAACACTTGGAAAATACAGAAAGATGGAGGAAAAATAATCAAAAATAATCCATATCTCCACTTTCTGAAGATGTGAACTCTTCAGAGTGTGTTTAGTTTTGTGTCTGTGCACAGGTTTCTAATTATAACTACGTCAAAATGTGCATCGAAAATAACATCATGTTACTCCGGTGAAATTATACTTTCATCTTAATTTTTTACCTGTTATTATGATAGCGTCCTGATAACAAAGTGTACTATGTGTGTCTCCATTAAAAGCAAATGTGTATCTAGAGGAAAAGTTAGAAAATATAGTAAAACTAGAGAAGAAAAATTCACCCAGATTCCCAACACCTGAAAATAATGTGAACATCTTGATCGGTTTGCTACATCTTGTTTGAGTACACAAGCTTGTGATTATATCAGTGTTAAATATCTGTGCCTAAAGTCTAAAATGAAAAGAAATGTGAAAAATAATTAAAACAGTGTTGTCATTGTGGGATTATGGTTAAATATTTTGTCTCAAATTGCTTGGATATTATTTGGTGTTTTGGTAATACATTTTATGTTTATCTTTTCATTACAAATACAATACATACGCATAGAAAGCTTGGACATTTAGTAAAGTAGAAGAAAAAATTTCACCCATATTTCCAACAGCTTCTGTTAACATCTCGATCTGTGCACTGGTCTATAACTATTAGGGTGTTAGTAGGTGTCAAAGATGGGACGAAGTATGGAGAACAACGGAGAAACACTTGTGTGATCATCGTGAGATTATAGTTAAATATGTTGTCTCTGTTTTTTATCATGGTGCATTGGTGGGCCACCGTTATTTCATATATTTCCATTATATATATGGTACCTGCTCATTATAGGAACTTTAAAGTGGGGGAAATATAGAAGAGAAATTAACCATGTTTTCACTGTCCGAAGACTGGCTAACATCCTATCTTCTTTTCATCTTGTTTCTGTGCACAGGTTTTTGGTTTGCTAATATGGTTGTGATCACTTTATCTGTAATTGTGTCAACAATAAAAATAAAAGTAAAATATTTCTCAGTCTCTTTGTTCATTTTAAGTGTTTTGGGTTGTTGAACATGTACTTTTTGGTTAAAGTTATAAATCCAAAACAGTACCTCCTTAGGCTTAAAAATGTCTGGCATGCAGATTTTACTCCATTTCTTAAAAGTTTTGCTATTTCAAAAGTTACTCCTAAAGGACCTCTTCAAGTTACTTGCCTCCATGTTAACTGCACTTGCAAAATTAAAATATATATTCCAGTAGTGTTTTTAAATTTGTTAACCACAAACATATTTCAGTTACTTGACTGGGCATTTTTAAATTAGAAATATATTCTTCCCGACATAAGGACTCATGATTCCTTAGCAAAAAATACTAGTGTTAGTATTAGGGTTTAGAATGTCTGTGAGGCATCTGTTCCTAACTTTTGCTGCAGTCAACAGGCATTTATTCTCAGCGGAGTCATTTCATCAGTGTTAACCCAACTTCACCATCAGGAACATCCCATAGAAATGAACAGTTTATAATCAGACAATTTGGGAGGTAATTTTTAAACATGCTTGTGATTCCATGATGCCCTTGCCCACGGGAGCGCTGCTGGTGACCACAGTATGATACAGTGGCTTCCGTGTCTCCAATTTCATTGAGCTGGAAGTGGTCATGTACTTCTTTCTGATCCCCCTGCACACTGCGTGATTGGATTTTGATCTTCAGGTATAAGAGCTCTTAGAACTTAACATTTATTTATACTTAATATATAAATTATTTAGAACTTAATATAATATTTATTTGTCATTGTGGGATTATGGTTAAATATTTTGTGTCAAATTGCTTGGATATCATTTGGTGTTTGGGTAATACATTTTATGTATCTTTTCATTACAAATAAGTTTAAGTTCTATTTTACTTAGAACTTGATATTTATACTAAAATGAAAACTCATTGAATTGCGATCATCTCTCGTGACATCTGACTTACTTTAATCACAGCTTGGATGGGCATTCTTTGAAAAGAGGCGTTAGCATAGGTCAAGGTGAGGAGGTCAGTCCTATCTTAGGATTGGTTTCCTGCACAGTATATTATAGGAGGTAGTGGAAGGGGATGGAGTAGGTAACAGGTGGGGCGGCCTGACCAGCCCTTGTATACTTGAGGGATACATTGGTCTCATTTGAAGAGGGAGTCAACCCTCCTAGCTGGGTGGTCATATAGGCCAGGGCTGGGTGCACTGATGAGCAAACAGGTGTGGAAGGAGATGAGGCCACGTGGCCTGAGGGAATCTTGGTTCCTGGTGTCTGATCCACACTAGTACCCTGTGGAGTGAATTGCTGACCTTCCCATTACTATGATGAAATGCCAGAGGCAATTTACCCATAAAGAGAAACGGTTTATTTTGGCTTTTGGCTCTAGAGGTGCCCGTGCAAGTCGAGTGGCCCCATCACCGTGGGCCTCTGGCTGGGTTGGCACAGTATGGCAGGAGTGTGTGGCAGAGGAAGCTGCTCAGCATGAGCTAGGAAGCAGAAGTAAGACAAGGCCAGGGTCCCAAGTCCTCTCCACAGGCTGGTACAAGGACATCCCAGCAGACTCCGCTTCTCAAGGCCGCACCACTTCCTAGTAGGGACACTCGGGACCACACCTTTCCCGTGTGGGCTGCTGGTGGAAGGTGGCCCTCCAAGCCATATGGCACATGGGTAATACATCTGTCAAAGAAATCCTCCAAGAGCTACTGAATGTGGAATCCAAACAAATACTAATTCTTGGGGATGAGAACATTGCAAGGTGAAGCAGAAGCAAGCAGGCAGACCAGCTCCTCCACTGGGAAGGCATGAGTGAGAAAGAAGGCAAGGCCGGCACTACATCCCCCACCAGCCAGACATCTGGTGGCAGGCTGATCGCACCAAGCCTCCTTCATCACGGGGCCATATTGTGTCCTCAGTAAAGTAGAGACTCACCTAGATTGAGTTTTCTCCCCTGCTTACCAGCTTCTTATCAATATCTATGAGTTTACTGCATGTTTCACATACCACTTGCAGCTGTACACAGCAGATACTTGTCGTGATAATGTCACATAATAAGCAACCATAAAACTTCATTGGCACGTACCAGGTGCTTACTGCTCCCACAGCCAGGATCAGCTGGGTGCCTGGTCACCACGGCCACACTTCCACAGCCCATCCAGACATATCCAGAAGTGTGCTTTGCTAATTCTCCAGGGGTTTCTTTTTTGGCCTCTTTTTTTGTTTTGTTTTTCTCCGGTACCAGGAACCGAACTCACGACCTTGCGCTTGCCAGGCAGGTGCTTTTGCTGCTGAGCTAAATCCCCAGCCCCTCTTCAGGGATTTCTTAATCCAATCAAGTGGACATATTATGAATAATGGTCCCAGTCTGTACCTCCATGGGCGTCTGGTTGCACGGGTGTATGCATGTCAGAACTACTTCAAATAATGCACGTCCTGTTCCTGGTAAGTAAACAAGACAGAAGCATGTCCTGTTCCTTGTAAGTAAACTCTACCTAAGAACAATTCAATGAATTAAATGAATAGCCCTATGCCTAAAGACATACATGTGAAAATACTGAGGAGGGGAATGAGGAGAAGCCTGCAATTTAGTATGAAATGTACCCAGACACTAAGATGGACTGGCAGAAGAGCAGATGGATAAAGATGGGCAGAGATGGATAGACACGCACAGAGCAGATCCACAGGGTATCCATGGGAGAGGCCAGGTAATGGTAGTTCCCCAAGCAGCTCTGACTTATCTGACTTATGTGTGTTGGAGCATGTTGTGCAGAAGGTTTCATGGTTAAAAGTAAGCTTGCTTCTCCTTCCTCAGTCACCTAGTTTGTTCCCCAAACTAGTGCTTTCCAGTTTCTTGTACTGGCTCCAGAAAGCTCTATGCATACAAACTACATCACCATAAATATAATGCATAAACATACTTATTGCACACGTTTCCATACATCCTACCTGCACATCTTGACCCCTTGATAAATGGCTTCAGTTAAAAAATTGCAAATGGCTCCCCAAACCAGAAAACCATGTTCTATCTTGTTTATAAAAACAGAAGTGTGTGAACCAGAATCATCCTCGCTATTGTTTCTCAAGTTTCGGAAAAATTAAAATAGCTTAACGTAACAGTGTGGATGCTGGTGTGTTCACGTAGCTGCTGGCTGCAGTAGCTATGGAGGGCAGTTCAGAAATCTGCCTAAGTGTCAAAAGTGTGTCTGCTTTGCCTTGGTGATTCTGCTTCAGAGAGTTTATCCTGCCAGTGGACTGCTCGCAAGCAAATTCGCTGAAAGTAAGGGGTCTGCATTTGACAGTGGTTATAGCAGCAAGGGGCTGGTGTGATACAATTTTGATCTTAAAGGTCCCCCAAAAGCCCACATGCTAAAGGTTTGGTCGCCAGCCCATGATGCTGGTGTGAGGTAGTGGAACCTTTAGGGGGCAGGGCCTAATGAAAAGAAGTTAGGTCTTTGGGAATGCGTCCTTGAAAGGTATACTGTGACCCTGGTGGTTACCTCTCTTCCTGCTTCCTGGCTATCCTGAGTGAGCAGATTTGTTCCAGCACACTCCCCACCCTGATATCTGCCTGGCCACAGACCCAGAAGCAATGGAGAAGAGTGATCATAGACTGAAGCCTCTGAAACCAGAAGCCAAGGTAAACTTTTTTCTCCTTATTGTAAGTCATTTCCCTTGTGCATTTTGTCACAATAGAACACAATGTATATCATATATAACTTCATATTTATGCAATATATCACATTACATATACTATACACACCTATGTTTAATATCCTACATTATATATATATTTTTAGAGACAAGGTCAAGTTCTTGCTATGTAGTTTGGGTTGGCCTTGAACTCACTATATAGGTGAGGCTGACATGAACCCATGGGTGATCTCCTTGCCTCAGGCATCTGAGCACTAAGATTACAGGCATGTGGCACCATGCTCAGCTCATGTTTCTAAACATTTGAATATTTTATATTTATATTTCAGGTTAAAGTTACAACTATCCACTTGATATACAGTATAGCAATATAGATTACATGTATACATGTATAATTGCACAGATGTATATATTTATATGCAATGTATAATGTGCAAACATATACACATATGTGCAGAACATATGTATACATATGTGCACATACACAGATGTATCAATGCCTATGTAATTACACATATATATGTATACATACACATACTTTATATCAGTGAAGTAGGCCCTTTTGCCTGTTTCATAGTGTGTTATTCCTTATTATTTTTTTTTAGTGTGTTATTCCTTAAATGATGAGTTTTTGCAAAAGAGCTTACTCATGAAATGGCCAAGCATAAGGAGCCAGGAGGCCAAGTCTCAAATCCACCTTCCCTAAGATAGAGTTCAGAAATATTTATGGGCAAAGAAGCAGGGTGATTCGAGGTACTGCCTTTGGGAAAGGTGATTGGAGGTGAACTAATGAGTGATTTGCACATTCATAATCAAACCTCATAGCTTTCTGTAGGACCTGTGTACAAAATGGTGGCATCAGTGTGATCGAGGGTGGAGTTTGGGTCCCCGGCCGTCAAAAGGTCATCTAGGTGAAGAGTAGGTGCTTTCAACAGGGTGAGTACTAGTACTCTACTAGAGACTTGTGCACTGTTGCACTGCTGCCTGACCTACAACATTCGTGATTTTAGAGTCAACCTCAAGTATCTGAAAGCACGCAAGGCTTGAAGATTTACTTAGGTTTCCATCTGGAAAGACACGTCAAAGCACAGTGGTTGCCTGCATGTGTGTATATGAGGGTAAATACTTGGTGGATGAAGCACATTTAGGGAGGAATCATTGTTACTGTCTACTGTTTATTTTCAAAATTCTCAAAGGACTCAGTTCTTCACTGATTTAACATGCTCATTTTAGCGAGGGAGTCCAGAGACAGCGCTTCCGTCCGCCGCTACTCTTCCCCCAAGGGGCGGGGCCAGATGGTCACATGACCAGCTCAGTGCGCAGGCGCAGACTCTGCAATGCGCATGCTCATCAGTGTGCGGAGTGTGCAGTCCGAGCGGCAGTCCTGTCCGACGAGGGCGTCGCGCGGACGAGGTGAGTGACAGGAGCCAGCAGGTTCCGGATGGCCGCGGGGAGGGAATGTGAGGCGCGAGGCAAGGGCCCGATGCCAGGGAGGCACCGCCAGCAGGGTGTGTGACGTGCAGGGCCAAGCAGCGACAGTGGGGGACAGGAACAAAGATGGAGGGGTGGAGGGGGACAGTGCGCGGGCTCGGTCATCCTCAGTCAGCCCTGCCCTCCTCCTCAGTCAGGCCTCACCCCGAAGCCCACCCCGCCTCACCCCCCACCCCC